ATTATGCAGAAAAATTACACAATATTTCGCTTCGTTTCACTACGTCTATTTGATAACTTTAATATCTAATGAGAGCCCAAGCTTTTATTCATAGTTATACGAATACAGAAATACCGTGAAGAAATAGGTTAAAAGTACATTTAGTTGAATTAAATTTTAGGTCCAAAATTGATAATCTTAGACCCTTCGTTAATTCAAAATATTAAAAGTGAGATATTATTTTATAAAAATATTATTTTTAGTTTAAATTTATTTTAGAAAAAACTTATTTTTTCCTCTTTAGTATAGGTATTTTTACGTTTTATTGTTAAATAAAACCTTTTTTAAAAAAAAGATTTTCATATGTAACTTTTATTATTTCTGAAGCAAGTCTTTGTCTCATCTTTAAATAATCATTTTTACCCCATCCGTAATTCAATTCAGAATCATTATCTTCTTTTCTAAAGCTCTCCTTTTCAAGTTTCCACTGTCTCTCTCTCGCTGTTGTATTCAGTTATTTTTAGAGTTGTAATCAGACGCCATGGAACGTGCTCGAAGCAAAACGCGCATAAAATTTAATTCTGTAAAACGGGGATAAAATTGGTCACGCGATTGGTTAAATTTCGAAACTTTTGCCGCGAACCGTCGCCGAAATCGAATTTGATGCTTCTGATTGGTGTTCTATACGCGTCATCAGTGCTTCTTGTAGTAGTTATCGCAAATTCGAGTCAAGCTGGAGACGCGGTCGCGGTCGGTGCATTATAAGTCCGTAGTGTGTTAAAGAGGTAGGATGTTTTGTTCGCGTCTTTTAAATTCGACTTGCCGAGCTAACTTTTTCGCAGAAGTAGTTTTATATTTTTCTACGTGAAAGGTTAGATTGATTGATCCATATTATATTATTATTTTTCGCAATTGTCCACGGCATAAATTAAATTGACAAAGTTGTTGGAGGTCGCCATTTTTGTTTTTGATTAGGTACTTGTTTTTCTTTTATTCGGTGTTTCGTTTATTTAATACCAGTGTTTAATTCTTTTCTTCGTCCATTTCGCGCATGTATTTTGACTGAATTTAAGTCGGAAGAAGAAGGATAGGAATTAAATACATATTTAAATTTCCGTGTAACCAATCTCCGCTTTAATTATTATAATTATTATATGAATTTGAAAGATAAGCCACCCTACATTGTCGTTTTAAAAGTAACAATTTTACAATTTACTTGCTTTTTTGTAAGTGTTTTTATTGTTTAAATGTTGTTTATTTTATTGTCCATTCAATTTACATTATACTTAACAATAAATTTAATAATTTATTTACTTCACATAATAGTTAATTCGTTATTTCTCTATTTCTACAGATTCAAGATAAACGAGTGAGGAGATTGAAGATCATTTTGATGCTACGGAAAAAACAAGTCGTCTCCCTCCTAAGGTGTTTTATCTGTTAACTTTTCATCTTGGAGGCTCTTATAGTTAATTAATTAAGGTGAGTGTATATGCTAAATTATGTATTCATGATCATATTTATTTGATATTAACAGAGAAAAGGGTTCAGCATTACTTTAACAATTTATTACATAGTTATTTACTGGGGAGGCTAAATAAATTATATCTGAACACTTTTTCATTAAATTTCATTTTAGAGGAACATCAGAAGAACTCCAGATGCCATTAAATTATGGACCATTGGTTGTGTTAGTTATCAATTGCTCCGGAAAGTAGTTGTACCTATGGCCCTAAAAAAAGCATAAAAATACCATTCTTCCATTGGGAATGGAGACAGTGTGCTGTTGCTGAAAAAGGGATTTATGACAGTGAACTGGTATGTAACAGTATCAATTAAAAGTAGTGGGTGAGGGAGGTCCCAGAAACTTAAATTTCTTAGACATTTGAAACTTGCTTCAATACACAGTGTTTAAACATTTCAGAAATGGCATATGCAGAACAGCAGAATTAATATGGAACTGATCTTTTCGTCAATCTGAATTTTACTGATTTACTTGCTTTAAAAATGGTAATTAATTACTTTTTCTTGCCCGTTTCTATAGATTGTCCAACGGTAAGAAAGAATTGCAGTTAATTATGGTGCTAACGAAGCAATCGATGCTTTTAATGTCTTCACTTTACAATATTATGCAGTTAGTTTTGGTCATGGGAGGCAATTGGAAATTAATTTGGGAGCCACTGAAACAACAAGTTGTCTTCAGTGGTATTCCTCTTATATTTGTTTCATGGCTCATCATACTGGTAGACTTTAGAATTACTTTCTACAGTTAGTTAAGGTGAAAATACAAGACGTGCTTCATGCAGTAACTTTCTTGAGGAGATTGAAGTTCATTTTGATGCTACTGAAAAAACAAGTTGTCTCCATTCTATGGTGTTTTATCTCTTAACTTTTCATCTTGGGGACTCTTGCAGTTAATTAATTAAGGTGAGCCTATATGCTATGCTATATCATATATGTAGCATATTTATTTGATATTAACAGAGAAAATGGTTCGGCACTACTTAAAGAGTGTATTATGCACATTATTTACTAGGAAGGCTAAATTAATTACATCTGCATACTTTTTCATAAGATTAAATTATGGAGTATTGCTTGTGTCAGTTGCCAATCGTTCCAAATAGTAGCTGTACCTATGACCATAAAGAAAGCATGAAAATGCCATTTTTTTATTAGATACTAAGACAGTGTGCTATTGCTAAAGAAAGGTATGAAACAGTATCAATTAAAAATAGTAAATGATGTCCTAGAAACTTCAATTTCTTAAACACTTCAATAGGCAACTTTTAAACACATTTCAGCGGAATTAATGTGGAACTGATCTTTTGATTAGTGTGAATGTTACTGATCTACTTGCTTTAAATGTGGTAATTAATTACTTTTTCTTGCCCGTTTCTATAGATTGTTGCAACAAATTAGGAGGAACTGGTGGTATTGAAACAAGCGATGCTTTTGATGTTTTCACTTTGCAACATTATGCAGTTAGTTTTGGCCATGAGAACGGGAGGCAATTGGAAATTAATTTGAAAGCCACTGAAACAACAAATTGTCTGCAGTGGTATCCCTCCTATATTTGGTTTGCTCATCACACTGGTAGACTTTAGAACGCTACATTCTACAGTTAGTCAAGGTGAGAAAACGAGGCGTAATTAATATTAATTGCTCTTTATTAATCTGTAGTGACATCTCTTTTAAACTGTTATCTATTGGTCAAAGTATAGATTGATGTTGTGGCGTATGTATAGTATATTAAATATCTATAGTCCACAGCATCTATGGTATGTCGTTAACATTTACCTATTGTTTACAGTTAAAATTGACTGGTGCATCTGTGGAATTTTAATAGTTATCTACTGTCTACATTATAAATTAATGTTATGTGCATCTGTGATTACTTCACATTTATAATGTCAAATTTGGTCTCTCATGTAAACTTGACGCTTGTCGCCATTTTATAATTCAGCGTATTTACTTGGTTTTTGATGCGTGTTTTTAGGTGTGTTTAATCTCTTCCTTAATTAGTAGTGTAATTAATGTTTTTTTTACCCATTTCTGCAGATCGTTCAACAAATAAGAGGGAGTTGAAAGTTCAATTTGGTCGTACTAAAACAACCATTGTCTACATGGGTGTGGTCTTTGGTGAACTATATTCTTGATTTGCTGTTTTCGTCTTCACTCTACATTATTATGCAGTTAGTTTTGAACTGATGAGTGGGAGCAACTGGATATTTATTTGAAATCCACTGAAATAACAAATTTTCTGCATTTGCATTTCACACCTGCAAACTTTGGAACATTACAGTCTACAGTTAATTAAGGTGAGAATACTTGATATAATTAATTTTAATTGCTCTTTATTAATCTGTTACCACCGTATCTGTTTCAGGTCGACGTTGGAGAAGACAAAGATGACCCCGTAGTTAAAATAGTTCTCTATCTTGCATGCTCTATCTAGTAGAATT